CTTGGGACTTTGCCATCTCAGGAGCATGGGGCATTGCTCCCTGTCATTGGTCTGAAAAGCATGTTAAAGCCAATGTGGGCTCAGGGGGTACTTTTGAGCCCTCTTACCAAGATCCTTTGCCCAGCTTGTCCCTAGTAACAGTCACAGAAACAAACCTCCTCCTAGACTATCTTAAACCCAAACCCTGAAGGATAAAAGTTCCTGCTGGATTAATTGTTAGTTATCATCTGAGGCATTCAGTATTTTGTTGGCCATTTGAAAATCCAGGTCTCATCCCAGCCTCAAGAGCATCCTGGAATGATGAGTTCCTTCATCTCAACACTCCAAATTATGTTTGGACTGTGTTCCTTGTGGTGATGTCATTTCACCCAAGGAGAATAGTGGAACAGGTCAAAATGTACCTGAAAAGTTGAAAGTCAAAAACTGGTAGCCAGTGTGTTCTGGAGGCACGAGCCAGAGACTGTGATCTATGTTCTAAAGGCAGGTAACATCTTCTGTCTCCTCCTCAGGGGTACAAGATGGATGATCTTTTGACCTCGTACATCAGCCAGATGCTGACAGCCATGAGCAAACAGAGGAGTGCAAAGGGTAGCAAGTGAACTGCAAGAAGCCACTGGCAGGTGGCCATGAGGCTAATTCACCAGCTGAGGCCTGTGGGATACCCGTGCAGCTGGGGGAGAACCTTTGCCTCCCAGATGTGGAAGATGAGCCGAACACCATCAGGGAGTTCGCTGGACTCTGACCTTGAGGGCTCAAATCCCACCTCCCCTTCCAGCGAAGACGACTATCTCTGACCTCCTGTTCTCCTTCCCCACCCTGCACCCCGACTCCATCTTACACCTCAAAGATTTCCAGGGGACACCGCTGCTCTCAGACAGTGACTGAGCAAAGACACAGCAGCAGGAGGTTTGCCTGAACCCAACGGTTGGCATCGCAAAGGCTCTTGGAAGAGGATTTGTGTGTGTGTGTGTGTATGTGTGTGCGTGGCTTGTTTTGGTTTGGTTTGTTTTTTTCTTAAGTAAGAGAGAGCTATCGGGATGCTAACGGCTTTTTGGTGAGGTTATGGGCATTTCAGGTTTGAAGAGGAATAACAGAGCCCTGACTGTCCTGGTTTCAGCTGGACCCATGCTGGAAAGATGTCCAGTGAACACTGCAGGGCTTGTTTTTTTGACGTTACAAAAGAATACGTTGCGTTCTTAAGAAGGACAGAAAGAAAAAGCAGGCTGGGAGGAGCACATTTTAACTAGGAATCAAAATAAACAAACAGGTTAGAGTACTAAAGTGCTGTCTGTGCAATGCTGGAAATATTTAAAGAACAAATTTTGAAGTTTTGTTTCTTCTTCTATTTATTTTTTAAAACATTAAAAAGGAAAAAAAATCCTGCATTTTGTGCCAGTATCTGGACGCTGACTTGGGGCTGAGGGTGACCTGCAGGACAATCCCTTGCCCAGGGATTCTCCCAGAGTTGTGATTGCCAGAGGCTGAGTAAGGCGCATCTTTCCCAACTTATGAGCTCAGCTGGAAGTGAAGCTTGGAAGACAAACTATCTCCTTTTGCCCCCTGTGCCCAGACGAATTAACCCTGGGAGTATCTTTACTGCAAGCTTCAATATGGATATAGGGGCTTTGAAGTCCCCATGCTTGGAAGACTAAGGCCAAGCCTGCGTTGAGCTGTAATTCAAACATGGACTTGGCCATCAGGGTTGGAAACAGCTAATTATTTTATTGTGCTTTTGTGTGTGTTGCTGTATAAAAATGGCTCTTTATGAGTCCCAGCTAGACCTGAACCACTCACAGCAAGGGCAGGCCCTTGATTTCAGTGGGCTTTTCTCCATCTTTGGTTGGCTGTACTAATCTGCTGGCTAGTTGTTCTCACCGCTCTTCCACCTGATGCCACACAGTGCGGACCAGCCTGCTCTGGAGCAGAGTTGGGACCTGCCAGCAGAGAGGAGTCTGAAGCCATGTTGTGTCTGGTGGGATGCAAGGGAAGGAGCCTGGGGTGCCTTTCCAAAATCCGGGCTTCAAAGGAGCACATGCCTGGGTGTGGGGCATCAGGAGGGGTGACAATTGTCCACCACGATCTGGTGCTGGTGTCATTAATGCTGAGTGGATCTCAGTAGATGTGGGAGACCTCTTTTGGTCCTGTGCATTGGGCTGAGTTTGGCTGCTTTCATAAAAGTCCATATTGTAGGGTGTCATGTATTGTTCTCTTAAGCTCAGCTGGACTCAGACCTCCAACACCATGGCATGCCAGGCAGAGTCAGCAGCACTGCCTACCGGACCTCAAGGACCATGACACGCAGCTGGGGTGCAGCAGTGACTTTGGAACTTGGTTGCTGCACAAAAGTGAATGAGATGCTGCACGGAGACATCCACCAGCCAGACAGGGCTGCTAGGAGATCCCTTTCCTCCACCATCCCCCTACCCAAGGCATTCTGGTGATGGGAGTATGGTTACACCAACCAAGGCTACACTGGGAGCCAAGCTGCCTTCTCACCATCCATCTCTGATTCTTCTCTCCCTTTCCCAGCTGCCATGATCCAGCTGTCCCAGGGATCCTTAGACACGTGCTCATCATCCCCATCACCACCACTGCTTTTCGTGAGTCTCCAGCCATCATTGCCTCCCACAGCACACTCAGTAGACGATGCAGCACAGCAATGTTTTCCAGCGCTGTCCTGGGCCAGCTTTCCCCTGCCACCACCCTCATCCCTCCACTTACAGCTCTGTTGGCCTCCCATGCACCCCATGATTTTGGGGGGGTGCCAGGACTCTGTGTGCGTGTGCTTGTGTGTCATATGTATTAGCGTCTGCTGGCCTCTTTGTATTCACACCAAGCGATGTAACATGAAAAACATATGTCCAAGCGAAATATTCTAATTAAAAAGCATCAAGTGGCTTGTGGGAGGCTGTTCTGCGCTGCGTGGTTGTGGTGATGTCTCCACAGGGAAGGGTGGGCTCAGGGCTCCCAGGTCCTCATTGGGGACAAGACTTCTTCTTGCAGAGTGGGACTCCTGGTGAGAGTATCCAGCAATTGGGAGCAAATCATCAGCATGCCTGGACTGGAAATTAAGTGAAATCTTTTCTTTTTGGATAAAAAACACTGCAGCCTGGGGAGTCTCCACTGGTCATCCTCTAAGACAAGGGCTGGTTCTTCCACAAAGGGCAGTTTTGAGCTGAATCACTGGATTCAGCCAGTAATTCAGCAGGAAGTACTGGGTGAAAAGGTTGTGTGTGGGAGTCAGACTACCAGCCACGTGCTTAACAGCGTTGCCAGACCCTGCTAGCTGTGAAGCAACAAAAATAGTAGCCGAGATGTGACAGGGTGTAAGGCATTGCAGGAGACCACAGGTCTAATAGGCCAGGATCTGCCTGGACAAGGCTGCTGAGGATGAGGAAGGTGAGTACAGGGAGATACCACTGTGTAATGGCCAACCAGCAGCTAGATCCATGGACACCAGGGGACAGGCTGAGGACCCCATGGTGCACACCACCGCTCAACCCACACACTCTCCACCTCTTCATTTTCGCTACTCACGTACCTCCATGTGAGTGGTACCCACAAAAACTATGAACCAGCTATGGCTGCGGAACATGGGAAGGGGGTTTAACAGCATCAGTAGCATCTTCTCCCCATGCTTCATAGATCTGGAGCTGCTCTATACCAACGCACCAGCCCTTCAGCCCTTTTCCAAAAGAGAATGCTGCCTTTTTGCATTTCTAGCCTCCAAAATACTCCAAAACTACAACTTGGAAAAGTTTGAGTGCTTCTCAGCACAGCTAACTCTGAAACCTAATGCTTCTCTGTCACTATTCATTTGTGATAGCTTTATTTAGCAAAAACACCAAGCTGTGTGAGACTTGTGTATGAGAAAATGTCTATAGCCTGATTCAGGTAAAGACTACTATTTTCTTCCCCTTTCCCAGTTTGTCGAAATAAGAACAAAACAGGGTAGGAGAGCTAAAATGTATTTAAAACAGCACTTGCAATTTACAAAAAATGTGTTCTTATTATCTGTTCAAGTAGAAATTTATGGCTTAAACCTGGGAGATGCTCACATCTCCCTTGCAGTGTGGGGCATAGACCCCCTCCCTCCTGTGTGCCAGCAGCCACTGGGAGAAATGAAAATTGGAATAAATCCCAGGGCACAGTGTGGTTATACAGACCTTCCCAAGGGAAAAGCAAACAGGACGCTTGGTGGGACTGGTTCACATGCAGCTCAATCCTTCTGAAGGAAAGCGGTGTGCTCCTGGTCATAGTCTCAGTAGCTACGCGTCCAAGGCACCAAAAAGTCCTTCAGCACCCTTGGGAAGATACACCCTCGCTCACAGCCAAGGGGAAGAAACTGTCCCGTTAGGGTCTATGGCAGGGCAAGAGTGGAGAAAAGGAAAACCTAAGCTGCCACTGCCTGCGTTGTAGAAAGGTATGGACCATAGTGACCCAGCCAGCAGCACTTGACCATCGTGGTGGGACTAGTGTGCTCTCAGGGATGGAGGAGACCTGCGAGGAAGGAGGGAGGGAGTGTGTGGAGAAGAAGCCGGTCTGTCAGGAGAAACACGGGCAGCTGAGAATGAGGAGGACTGGAGGATGCTCAGATATTTGCAGCATGTGTAAAACACAGCTGTGGAAACAGAGGGCTTACGCACAGCAGGAGGGATTACAGGATGATTGCCCTGTGGGATGTCCTCAGAGTTAAATGGTGGCTTCCATGCGGTTGCTGCATCTCATCATGGTGCACAGCTTCTTCATGGCTGCAACTCCATCTGTGCTCCCTACACCCCAGGGCTCCCCGCCAGGTATGGAACTGTGAGTAAAACTGTAGGAGAGGAAGCTCGGTGCTCATCTCCTGCCTCCTCTGCACAGAGGCAAATGGCTCCTCCTCATCAGGTGGACCTGAGCCCCTTGGCAGGTTGGTGTTTGCGTTGCAGGAAGGGGCAGCAGTAGGGTCTGCTCTCTAGTCCTCATCGAGATGGCAGCTCCACGTCCCCTCCCTGTCCATATCAGGCCAAGACAGCGGGCATGTCGCTGAGCTCTGGAAAAGGGGACACACAGTGAGCTACTGAAACATCTGCAGTTGTTTTGCCATCCATCGTGAGCAAACAGAACCTGGCTGAAAATGCGTGAAGCCCAGGTTGGGTCATTGTGCCTGGATGGTAGCTCCATGGGTGCAGAGACCTGGTGCATGGGAGGGTCCCCAGTCAATCCCACCCCACCTTGCAGATCCAAGAGTGCTCAGCACCTCTGGGCTCTCTTTTCACAGCATCGCAGAATAATGCATATTGGAGGGGACGTCTGGAGGTGTCTGCCCCAACCTCTGCTTGAAGTAGGGCCAATTAGATTGGGCTGCTCAGGGCTTTGAACATCTCTGAGGGTGGATATTCCCCACACGTCTGGGCCCCTGTTCCAGTATCTGACCACCCTCATGGGGAAGATTTCTTTTTTTCTCTTTATATCTAGTAAAAATTTCCAAGGTTGCAGCTTGTGTTGATGTCAACGCACATTCAAGAAATGTGTTCTCTACACCCTCCCATTAGATGGTTGCAGACAGTGATAAGAAGCCCCTTGACCTTCTCCCCCACTGTGCAAACCCAGATCTCAAATGCCCCGTTCTCCAGCGTAGCGGCCCCACTGAGCTTGCTCCCATTTGTCACAATCTACTTGGTACTGAGGAGCCTGAACTGGACCCAGTGCCTAGACATGGCCTCACCAGTGCTGAACAGAGGGGAGAAATCACTGCCACCTGCGACTGAGATTGAGACAAGCCAGGATGAAGCCATCCTTCACCAGAGCACGAGCACCCATCACCAACCCATCCATCCATCCATCAGGACCCCAGTTCCCCCACGGAGATGGCCCTGAGCAGGATGTGGCTCCCGGCTCTCCTCGCCCTCCTCACCCGTCCTGAACTTGTTGTAGGTGCCGCTCTCCAGCATCGGGCCACCGTCATGGGCACAGCAGGAGAAACTCTGCTCTCGCCACCTGCACGGGGAAAAGCACCTGGGTCAGGCCACCGCTCGCTGTCGTTCCCTTCACAGCTCCCTGGTGCCCCAGACACCTTTTTTCTACTTTGTCAGGGCAGGAATGGCTCTGGTATTTTGGGATTTGCTCAGATCCTTACCGAGAAGGGACTCCAGTGCCTGACTGATGTCTAAGTATCCACACTTCATGTGTGCAACAGCATTTTGAAGACAACTTTGTGACTAAGTCCTGTTTTCTAAGAAATAATTAAGAGCTCAAATGCCCTGCAGCTGTTGGTTCCTAGGCAGCCAGGAAAATTTAAAAATTGTGATTTTGGTGCATTCGTAAACCTGACAAACAAGACCACGCAGGGCTCTCAGGCACTGCTGATGGCCCTTCACTCCCAGCAGGGCTGGGAGAAAATGTTGTTATTTGCCCAGAAAAAGATGTTACTTGGCTGGATCAGAAGCATATACAGGGCCCTGGGAAAAGTACACAAAACATGAACACGAGCCTGGAGGAGGCAGGCATGGGAAGGTCTGACGGTGGTGGTGATGCGTTGCAGGAGTGGCTGTGAACCATCCTGCAAATTGGAGGCTTGAAAGCAAGGTGAAAGCCGCTAAAGCAGGACCTGAGGAGAACAGGGCAGGGTGAAGGAAGGGAAGGAGCCATTTTGCCTTGGGAAGGGAAAAGCCTGGGTGCCCAGCAAACACGCCTGTACAGCTTTTAGTTCACCGCCTGGCCATACTGCTACTAATTCATTTCTCCACCACCCCAGAGCAAAAATTAGAGCTGCCACCCTTTCCTATGCCAAAGCAAGTCATGGTTACAAACAATCTGGACTGCACACGCAGGAGATTCCCGAACTTTCTCCTTGCTGTCACCAGCAGCACAGTTGTGCTGCCAGCACCCCTGCAGAAAACACCCCTGGGCTGGCCGGGCTGGTCCTTCCACCCACCCGCAGCCGGCCAGCAGAAGACCTGAGCCCAGCACCTCCTGCTTTCCTTGGGCACCACTGGGATAAGAGCACAAGCAAGTTCCTCATCCAACTCTGCAGAGCAGAGCATCCAGCAGCCCAACCCGATTTGCTGGAGTAAGCCCATCCTACGAACCCCAGATTTCCCAATTATTACGCAGAGGCAGTGTCTTTGACAGTGTGGGAAGAAACAAAATGTGCTGTCTGTGACACACTCAGACATTTTTCTCTCAGGGGGTCTGGCCTATGCAGACAGAGACACACTGTTCGATAACTGGTTTGTTGCTACTGTAAATCCACCAGGTCTCCACTGAACCCTGAGGGTAGACAATTGCCAAGCTGCCAAAATGGCAAGGGAAAATGAGAGCAAGCAGGAGAAGCAGAGAGGTTTTTGCAGACTTTCAGGGCTCTCTTCTAGCTCCTGAAGGGAAAGGTAATGTTCTCAAGAGTAGTTTTAATCCTTCAGATCACCCAAAAGCATCCCTCCTTCCCCCCACCTGGCACAAAAGATCAGGTTAGGATGGCCATTAGCAACTTGGTAGTTACCAGTGCAGAGCAAAGATGAGTGAGATGAGGAGCACAGAGGTCAGGTCTGTCAGGATCCACATGATGTTGTACTGCTGCGGAGTCTGGAAGAGAAAAGAGTATGTGTCCACCACCAAGATCCCAAGATATGCAAAAAAGTTGTTCAAGCTCTTTCCTGCTGCTCGAATATGGCCATTCAGCTGCCTGGTTTGCATGTGCAGTAACAACCCTCAGGTGTTTAAAGCATTTGGTGGCATTTCAAAGTGGCCACTCACCAGTGCATGTTGGTGCCAAATCATCATCCTTCATAAAAACAGGTCTGTTGTGTGGCCAAGAAGATTGTAGCACATCACAGTGAATACAACAGGGACCTCTTGATTGTACAGGCAGGCCCTGTAGTTCTCACTGCTTCCCTCCAACATTAACATCAACTGGTGGTATCTCATTTTCTCTGGCAAAATTGTCCTTTAGTGAACACCAACTGCCAGGTTTCAGCTCAGGTCCTTTTCATGCAAAGGGTCCTTTATCCATGCGTGAACTGCCCCATGGTCTCCAGAGGTAACCATGAACATCCCAACCCCACTTCCTACCCCTGGGAAGGGGAGGATTTTTGCTTACCATGAGGAAGAGTGGCTGGCTGAGATTCTTCAGCGTGTGGACGGCATTGGTGGTCACAGAGTGTGCCCCAGAGCACCACGCCAGGGAGAAAAGCCATGGCTCATTGACCACATAGAGGTTGGTGGTAATGTTTGCCTCAGCGTATTTCCTTTAAAAGACCAAAAGGCAATAGCATTCGTTAAGCAAGGAGGTTAGTACTTCCTTTGGGCTGAATCAAGGAGAAACAGCAATTTTCTGTAGCAAAGGGTTGCTTTAGGACCTAGATAAGGAATAGAAAGGAAAGCCAACCAGCCAATAATTAATCGTTCACAATTGGTCAATACAGAATAGCTGATCCACTGGAAGCAAATGCAGTTAAAATATCCAAAAGGTCAAAACTTTTCTTACCCTTCTGCCATAAGAATCAATGTAATGATGTGTTTGTAATCTCCCCATAGTGTGTTCAAAACTACCTTGAAGCTGGCTACTTATGTTTGTTTACCGTATCAACTCATCATTATTCAAGTTCTTATAAGCTACTGAAACTTAATATGAAGTAAGATGATACTCTGTGCAATGGTAAAGGACTGTATCATCAATAACAGCATTTGTAAATCTACCTAGTGTCTATCCAGGGTTTACCCAAATGGATCTACATAGGATTTTACATCCTGTGAAAATTATCATTGCAAAAACATGAACATTACTCTCATCCAAAGGATTAAACTTCTCATTTTCTTTTTTTTTTTTTTTTCTAATTAAATTTCAGTGGGTTTGTGCACTGGAAAAAGCAAAGAATGTTATTTATAAAAGGAAAGCTGGACAGGTAAGACTGGCTTTTTTTTTTTTTTTTTTCCTTTTCTTTTTGGAGGGAACCATTTTGGAAACTTCTGCAATGAATGTGGAGCCTTCCATTGAAAAGATGACATTTTCAGTGTGTCACAAGCAACAGTGTACTGGAGGTAACAGAGACAAGAAATGAAGTCTCCAAAACACCAGCTACAAGAGAGTGATGGTCTCTCACCACAGCATTATGCACTCACACCGATGTCTGTGGAAGAGCCACGGGAGGTGAAATAGCTGTTCACTCTCCATGATTCACTGTTGGTGGGACTGAGGACAGCATGAATACAAAGACAAGAAATCAGGAGAGAGCTGTGATATTCTACCCAGGAGATCCTCAGAGCCTGGTCAAGTAAATATGGACTTGGGGGCAGGAGGGGGTGTAATAACGTATGCCACCTCTTGACCACATACTGGTCAACAGTAGGAGTGAACAACAGTCCCAAAATAAAACAGGGATGGCTGCTTGATCTAAAGCAGCGATTCTGAAAATGGAATAGATCCTAGAGGTGGTCACTGGAGGGAGACATTGCCACACGCATGAGGCAAACATCATCCAGATGTAGTCCACCGACTGTACTTGGGGCTGAAACTGCAACCTACCGGATATCTTCACTGGACATTTCAGTGTAGGCCAGATTGAGTTTGACAATATTGTCCATCAATAGGTCTTCAACCGGGGCCTTACTGCCCATTGTCTGCTGAAACCCAGGAGCAACAGACTGAACAAAGGACCTCATGTCGTTCTCCAGCCAGAGGACCTGCAGGCAACAAGAGGACCCAGTGAATTCACAGCAGACCTACTAATGTGCCCTGCCCTTCACACAAACCCAGTAAAGATAATGTCTTGAGGGGCTTAACCCAGCCGGTCAAATGACATGTTTTGTTCAATGATCAAAGAACATTTGGATGCAGAGTTAAAACTTGCAAGTCACTCTCATCAAGAAATAAGTATTCACTGTTCCTTGCTTATCAACTTGGAATCAGTGAGTATGTTTCACACAGCCCAACAAAAGATGCGGTGTTTGAAATGAATGGAAAGACAGCTTTGGTTTATGGGAAAGGCAACAGAAAATATTCTGCTCTCCCATTCTCCCAGCATGAGAGAACAGATCTTCAGCAGACACAGATCAGCGTAACTCCCCGGACATCGATGGGTACTTAACCTGATCCACATGCGTTTAGCATTTATCCATTGCCAGGGGAAGGAGAAAGGCAATGAAGGCTCCCAACTCAGTGTATTTGAATTTAAGCCAGGAGTTTCTATGCAATATGTAAAATAAGCACGGGTGGCAGGGAGTAGGCTGCCAATTATTACAATAATGAAAGGATGCCATTTAGGGGCTAAAGCATCAGCTGGTATATACACTGGCTTATTTCCCTGTGCTGCTGTAGGGTTACACCATTTTGTACTTGCTGAGGAACCAATAGTAGGAATATACTCCAAATGATGCCTCTTAAAACAAGTGAAATGCAACTGGACGGACTTTATGCAGGTGAAATCATGCAAGGTATGACCCCAAAGTCCCAATTCAGAGAGCAATAAAAAGGTATATGGAGGATTGAGGCCACCCTACCAGATGGGGTCTAATCCCCGACTCGCTGAGGATGACTTCCAGGGTTCTGTTGATCCACGAGTTCCTGTAAGGATGTTTCTCTGGAGGGCGGTAGAGATCAAATATCACAAGTTTATTCTGACTGTCTGCGAGGCGCAAGAAATTACTTAGCTTGTAAATTGACTGATTCATTGCCTGGTTTTGATCTGCCCTTGACAGTGAGCCCATGCATGAAAATGGTTTGTCCTAGAAATAAACAGATATAAAAAAGGAAATCAATCAGGCAGTCACCTTTGGAAGTCAGCTGCATGCAAAAAACTCCTATCTTTAAGAGGGAAAAAGGTTGACATCAGCCCTCAGTGGGCAAGGATCTTTTATTTTGCTTAGCTCTTCTACCTGAGAAACAGAGGAAATTAACCCAGGCTGTGACGACGCTGCTTCTGGGACCTAAATTGCATAGTTTACAGGTAGCTTTGCTGTGCTTCTCTGTCTCATCATGTTAGCTGTGACTATTATACACAGCACCTTGCACAAGTAGCTCTTGTCTTCTTCCCCTAGCCCATGTGTTCTGCTGCTGCCATGATGAGGAGCCACAAGAACACCTACTAGCCAATTGTTATAGGTCTCCTAAGCCTAAAGGCCAACTGGACAAAGCAAGGAGACCTCACCTGAAGGATTTCTACTGACTTCTTTGAGGTTTGGGTCAACCAGTAGTTCCTCTCCTAACATTCATGCTATTAAGTAGTAGACAGCTGGTGTCTTCTCCATCCAGTTGATGATAGTCCTTTATGGTGCTTACCTTAAGGAACCACGTTCCAGCATTCAACTCCTCCAGGGCATCCCAGGAGAATAACGCGGCATTTTGAGCAGTGTCATTGGGATAGACCTCCTTGATGTTAGTTGTCCTCCTCAAGGTGCTGTCATGCATGAGGAAAGGAACCCCATCGTAGCTGTCGGAGAGCAAGAGTTCAGGTCACTTGGAGTGCAGGTTTGTTCATGGCACGAGCAGACTCGTGCCAGGTCAGAAGAATATGTGGGCCACCGTGAATGCAGCAGTACAGCCTCCCTCAGTGCAGAGGGTGGGATAGGGAGGAAGGCTGAGGCTCAAGACACCAGGTTATTTCTGGATTAAATACTGCTGAATGACCTTGGAGAAGTCATGCCTGTCTGTGCCTCAGTTTCCTCAGGGGCGAAGTGGAGATGGTGGCATTTATGCTTGCCAGCCCCTCCAAAAATAGGTAGTAACTTATGGTTGAAATCTCTTTTTGCTGACACCAAAGTGTTTCTATGGGTTTCAGAGGACTGAAGTCTAAATGAACAGTGATGGAAAGGCAAAATTTTCTCTTATAGAAGGGTCTACATCAGTAGAACTTCTAAGCATTAGTATTTTTCTCATTCAGTGCCTGGAAACTGCTCATCCTGCACAGCATGTTAGCAATTCATGGCAATGGGTCCCACAAACAAAGGCAATTAAAGAACTAATAATTAGGACTATGCTGTCCCAAGTCTGAACACAATTTTCTGTTGGTTTGCAGGCCTGATACAGCCCTCACTGTGGCGTAGAAGTCAAACTAGGGTAGGGACTTGTCTTTATACTCTGCAAAGCATTTAAAATATACTGTAGAAATAATGACTGTTAAATCAATAGCTACAGCTCATTGACTTGCCTGAGAACAACCATGCCCTACAGCCCTTATCATCACGCTCCAACTGAGGGACCCTGTCCCAGCCATCAGTAAAACCTCATTGCCTGGAGTTGCACATCTCCAAAGGCAACTCTTAGAAAAAGCAGCGCATATTCTGTGAGATGCGATATTTTCCCCTTACCTGATGGTGACATCTGTTTCAAGACCATCCCCACCATGTTCAATTGTCTTCTGAAATGACATCTCAGTGTTTTCTGGTGCCAGCTGAAAAAAAAAAAAAAAAAAGCACATGAGCACATAATTTTCAAACACACTGTGGAGGACTCTGTAAGTACTTTCTGTCTCTGTAACACCTCTGGTTTTTATTAAGGAAACATTGTTATCTTGTTAAAGTCTACTGTTTGTTTTCTTCCACTTTAGCCACCAAACGCATCTTGTCCCTCAGGAGCAGCGTTATCCATGTTAGGAAACCCATGCAGCGATGCCTTTGGCATGCAATTCTAAAAGGAAATGTGTCCCCTTCCACCCTCTACAGATTTCACAGAAAAAAACCCAGAAGATGATAATGAAGGTAGCAAGACACAAGATGAAGAAATGATGTAAAATAACTTCTCCAGACCTACCATTGGTGCTCCACGGTGTCCAATGAGGGCTGGCTTTGGTCCAAGTGTCCCCATCTCTCTGATGCAAGGAGAGTACATCCCCAGAGGTATCAAGAAAAGAAAGAGAAGGATAGCCAGGTATGGACCAACAATTATCACCTGAACAACTGAAAGAATTTGAAGGAGGAAGGCTAGAGTTAATCCATGTGGTAACATATGGGTTTGCCTTGCAGCTTGACTTTTAACACAGCCCTCCAGCTAAAGTAGCTGTTGGGCTTTGTCCCATCCCTTTTTCCCCTAATTTTCACTTTCTCTCCAAACAATGCAACCCAGGAAAACAAACTGGTCAAAGCAAGGACATGGGCTAAGTCAGGACTGCAGGTTTTGTGCTTCAATTACATCTCACTATGCCTTACAGAAAGACATGGCCTTAATTTCTTTTACTTTAGAGGTGGTTCAATGAAATATCCCCCATCTGTAGAAAAACAATCCTCAATATATGGATGCTGATTTTTTTCTTACTCAGGTAAGAACAAGCAACATTTTGAAGTTCCATTCACAGTGAAGAGGAGGAGAAACCTTTCTCCTTCAAGTATGTTACATTCCCTTAAGGTGAATCCTTCCTTGGTCCATTCAGATTGCTGCCAGTGACCTGTGTGTGACCTACAGAATCCTACAGACTGACTGCACTGGTATTGCATCTCAGAAACTTGCCAACTCATTCCCTACAGTCTTCTCTGGAGTCTGTTAACACATTGTCCAAGAGCTCCTGTGAGCCTTCACCTCTGGGAACAAAACAGTTCCTCTGAGAAATGAGCACTTATGTGCCAATATTTCTTTCTTGAACAGGTACCACCACCCCTCTGCATGTTGTGCCAGTGGCTGTGAAGGAACTTGGGCTTACATCAAGCTGATGTATTGAGCTGGGCGTCCATTAGGCATGTCTAGGGTCCCAGCATATTCCCTCCCAACATTCCCAGCTGTAGTTCAATAAGAAAAATCCTGGGCAGGAAAAAAAATGCTTTCAGCAGCCCATTCTGTCTGTGATTTTTATTACAAATCAATATCTGCAGATGGGTGTCATGTAGATAATTTTGGCTATGTGGAGAGACTAGGTCAGAGAAAAACAGCCAGTCCCAGAGCCAGGCTCTTCTGCAGTTGTTCCTGGTATCTGACCTCATCCTTACACTACTTGGTCACTCTTCTCGGAGGTGGACAGGAACTTCCCATGAGATAACACTAGGAACTGAACAAGAAGCTCTTTTCCCTATCTCAGCTGGCTTCTCCTGAGATGCACTAGTCTGACGTGGATTGACTGGACTAGAGATCCCTTCTGAGACAGCAAAGCTGAGAATAGCAAACAAAAGTCAGCCAAGAGATCTGCCACAGGCTGCTTTTTCCCCGCAGAGGGCTGAACAAATTTCCATTCATGAATCAGAACATGGGTACTTCTGCTAATCTCCTCCATCTCAAGGCAGGTCACTGCCTTGATACAGGCCAAAACTGTGGAAGGGAACATGCAAACCAGTAATGCACCTGGACAGCCAGAGGACAGTGCACAGCCCAAGCCCCAGCCCTGCTAGTTTCCCTGGATACACAGAAGTTAAAATTCTCTTCCAGCTGGACTGCAGGTGTGGGAGGAAAAGGCTCCTGCCCACCTATTTTCCCACACTGATATACGTCTTTTGTCACATAGGGAGCATGAAGCAGAGCTACCGTACCTTTCTTATCTGCTCTGATGGCATGAAGAGCCACAGGCCAGGACAGGAGGACCATGATGGTTATTGCCCCTATGTGGAGATAGGGAGCTGTGATCTGGGAAGGAGAGAAAAGGATTTTAGTCAAAGGATGAAGTGGATACAGATGGAAACAAACCCCAACACAGCTACAGCCTTCCACCTGGATGGGCTCCTGCTGCAGATACCAGGAGTTCAACCTCTCTCCCACACCTCTGGAGTTGGAGGAGAGATATGTGTCCCCAGCCAGGCCAGCTACCCAGGCTGAGGAGGGCTCCTCGCTGCACTACACAGCTCTCCTTTCTCCTAAGTCAGCTGAAGGGGACATGGCTGTCCTCATCCATGTGGACACGATTGCCATTACTGCTATGCCCTAATCTGTGAGCATCTTCCAGGGAGCAGCCAGTTTAATCCAATCTAACCCAATCCAATCCCAGCCAGGTAATAGTCACCTCTATACCACACTGCAGCTAAATCATTAAACTGATGGCAACAAACCTGAGTGATAAAATGTGGCATTTACACCTGTATGGAACTAACTATTGTGGTATAAGAGAAGTAGTTAATCTGGTACATGTCTGATCATGGACTTTATTAGATTCATATAAACCCTGCAGTACCTAGTTTCACATATTAGCAACATATTCCAGAAAAATAATTAATTTGCATTTATTTCAAAGCATTTAATTCACTTGCATTAGGGCTAATTGCATTTTCTCTCTCTTTTTTTTAAACTTTTAATGCAATGTGTAGGTATTTTTCTTGATTTACTGACACAAAACAATATATTCATTTAATGCTTATGATATATTACATAATACCTATTGCTGGACAGATATAGTAATTGGACTAGATTTCTTTCATCCTAAAGATCAAACAAGAAGATCAGAAGTTAAGAATCACTTCTGTGCTTATCCTGAATGCATGAGCAGAGCTGGAAACCAAGCAAAAATAGTTTGTCACTTGTACAGACACTGAATGCAGGTTGGTATGACACACTTCTCATAAAACAAGGCAAATCTGTCAAAGAAACCAGTCCATCATTTTCTCATATTTGTCAGAGCCCCGTGGTTACTGCTTCAGCTAGAACTGAGAGTTATTAAGGTATGTGCTAGGAAAAAAAGTTATCCAGATGCAAGCCTTTCCTATTGCTTAGTCCATGCCTGATTCTCTAAGCTGGAAGGGTTGAAGAAAGCAGCAGTCATTGAGAGGTGTTACTGCATGTGATACTGTCTGCCCCGGACACTTGATACCAACATCTTCCGATCAGAAGCAGGATTCAGTTGCCTAAACAGAGGTGCCATCTGAGATGTCCAGGATATTTGAGATAGCTTTGCAGGGCTAATGGACATGACACAGGATCTACAAGAGATTCATGTCCTTTGAGAACAGCAGTGGGAGGCCACGTGAAGCATCTCAAAGGGCATGAACACCCAAAATAAACAGGACCTGTGGGGAACCCAAAGGCTCTTGTGTCTCCTTCTCCTCATCCACCTCCCCTGGAGTCTGTAAGGGAGAGGAGAAGCTGATGGTTTCTCATTACCTTTGCCAGTGCACAGCCCAATGGTTACCAAACTGTAGAGCAGGAATGTGCAATTAACGATACCCTACGAACACCACATCTGTGATTCCTCTTCCAGTCCATATGCATCGCTTTCCCAACATTCACAAGCAGTAAGCCACATGGGGGAGAAGCGATAGGCCCAAATAACATCTTCAGGTCAGCTGTATAATCAAAGGCTACATACTTCTTGCTTCCCAATACATGTGGGGACCTGGATGCTCAGACACTAAACAGCACTGAGCAGGTCTTGCCTCCATCTCCAGATCTGGTGAGAGTTGAGGAGGCCAGCAGACCATGCACTCTGACCTCCCGCACGCCGCAGGTTGTCCCACCTGAAACCAGCGTTCTCCACCTGCTCCCCAAAAACTCAGTGCTGTCCTGCCCTCGGGAGATGAAGCACTTCTGAGTCACAGAAGACTGAAATTGTGCTAGAGCTAAAGCTGCTGAAGTGGCAAGAGCTGATTAGGGAGAAAGTTCTTGCTCCAGCAATCTGGCCAAAGGGGTCTAATTTACCTGTCCTGGGCACCTGAAAATTAACAGTATACCTACAACACTTTTGCCAAACAAAAAAAAAAGGGATGTGACTTCCCAAACTGAGATATGTTACATCAGATAGCTTGAAACTCAGCCTTGGGTCTTGGCTTCCTTTCTCCCAACAGGAAATGTTAAGTCATAATAAAAGTTTACTCAAAGACACGTACCCTGCCAGGAAAACCCATGTGAAAAACACATGTGGAATGTTTTCTAGCAATTACCACAAATTTGTTCTATAAACAAGTTGTTCTTTCAAACAGACTTCCCAGCCCCTCTTACCTGGAATGACAAGCGGACAGTTTTCCATTGATCTCCCCAGAGTACCGATAATATGAAGAGGGCTGTTATAGAGAAGCCCAGGACAAGAAAAGTCCCAATCTGGAAAGGCAAAGAAGACATAAATCAGCTTCAGCATTTCTGCACAGGGTGTGCCACCCATTTGACTCACAAGCTTATCTAAGCAGCTTGGACTTGGTAAGTTTAGGATGCATCAGCTTGACTATGCCAGTTCAGAGACAACGAGATCCAACGGGCCTAAAACCAGACCAACAGTGCTATCGATTGCTGGCAAGACTGATCTTAAGAGTTGGGTACCCAACTAAGTCAGCTCTCAGGGCTCCCTCTATAATCCTTGGACAAAGAGAGGAATTTCCAGAGGTGATCCATTCCCGCTTGCTTTATGACGGAAGATGCCCCTCTCTCTCTCTGTTGATGTAGATGAAGCCTAGATCATCACCTTACATCAAATCCCTAACCTGCAGATGGCTAAATTCAGAAGTGATTAATTCCATCCAAAAGAGACAGCAACACAGCTTCCTTATGCTATGAGCTGCTCTGCAACAGGCTTCAGCAACAGCAAAGAATCCCATAATTAAGAGATGAGAGTTCACTTTTTAACCAAAAAAGTGAGGAGGTAGCTCGGTCTATTCTTTGGCTTCTTGCTCAGTTTGGTACCAGCACTATGGTGATGGCAGGCTCTTCTTGGTACATCATCTATCTGCTGAGAACTAAGTGCTAGTAGAAATTGGACCAAGGCTCTAACCATTTTTCAGGGGGATCCTACAGATCAACACCTTAATAATCTGTCCCTAATCTCTTCCACCCAAGGATGCAGTCTCAGAGGTTTTTTACAAATTATTCTACATCTTTCTGGTTCTTCTGGAAGCCAATTTTCAAGAGTAAAGATGACTGTGTTTCCATTACTTAAATGAAGAAACACAGGATCAAGTATCTGCATGTTCAGCTATTCCCTTCCACTGCAATATTTGCAATCACATTACATTCTCCCCTAAGCTGCATGGCTAGAGGCTCATTTTTTAAATGCCTCAGCCTCAATAATTTATCAAGGATGGTGATTCTAATGCATCATTTTGCAGCAGCAACTCTCTGGAGACTTGTTTCTGCACCTTCAAAACTCCAGGTAGCATTTCTGAAACCACCCAAAGACCAAAAAGCATAAGGCACCGGCATGCCTTGGAAAAGCCAGCTTTCTCTTCTGCAGAGACAGCAGCCACTTTTTTCACTGCTGCTGGAGTCTGTTACATGATGTCCTTATGAAAACTGAGCTTTTGTCTTCGTGTTAGCACATGTAGACCTGTCAAATATAGACTTCACCTGAATGAGTCACTGCAGGCTCCTTTTAGAGTCAGTGGGGGAAAAAAAGGTACTTTAAGTGTGATTCATTTCATCTTAATTTAGATGTCTACGACCAGCTGGATGAATTGCATCCTCAGGGGATTCACTTCCCTCCAGGGACTACAAAGGGAGTTTAGGTGATCAGCGCAGGTGGAGATATCATTCTTATGGGTATCTATAGTCTCCTAAGATTAACCTCTTCCCTCTCTTCCTTCTCTCCCATAATCTAAGATGTTTTTCATGCAGAGAAACACCACAGACTCAAGTGATTTAAAGCATAGATTAGAGTTACCAGAAAGCCCTGAGTCTCCCCACCTTGTGACTCCAGTGTAGGTACAGCTGCTGACCTTCTGCAAGCAAACACATCGCTAGGACCTGGGAAATCAAGAAGAGATTGTTTGCATCCTGGTAGAAGATGATGAAATGTGTTCAGTGAGGTACTTCTGGAATTATTTTTGCATTGGGAAGTCACTTAATACTAGGTCTTCCAGCACAATGTCAAGGCTGTTAGCAGGACAAGTGTATGGAGAGAAGTGTTTATTGCTACAGTAAAAATGCTTCTGAAATGGCCAAACACATACCAAGGCTGCCCTGCAGGATCAAAGCCCTTTCATGGGTAACAGGTAATGGGGCACTTTGGGGTACACACTTTCAATGACTTTTCTTTGTGAGTACAAACTCTGAAAGAGGCATGATAGCCAGAGTCTACTGCTATGCTATGAACCAATACAGCACTAACTTTGCCTATTTTTTGTAATTAGGCATGTGATTAGAGGCATATTAACCATGGGAGAGACGTCAGGGAATAAAAAATGCCTCCAAAGCACCACAAAAATACAGAGCAGACAGCGAAGGAGACAACACTTCCACAGTAATCGCAGGAAACACAAGAGACAGGCACATCTCAGAACAGGGAAAACTGCCTTGGAGATTCAAAGACTCTAGTTTTTGGTGGCTGACACGTTCTTTCCCTCCGATGGCAAGTTGAAGCCCTTGGTGAGGGTTCCAATGAGGCATGGCACAAACCCCAGCCAGGGCAGGGGACAACTCGAGAAGCCTTGAACACCAAGAAGCAAAGGATGAGGAAAGCCAGGCCGTGGCTTTGATGGAAAGTTTCTTCAAGTTATCCCGTACCTAAGAAACTGATGAACCTGATGATAAATTTCACCAGGAGAAGTACCTTGCTGCTGTGAAAATGCACAGGTCTACGCTCAGGAATCTGAGTGCCTGGGGCAAGTTTCCCAACTATCATAAGGGACAATTTGGGGACGAGTATCATCAGATATCAAGGTTCAGTGAAAAGTGTCTGTTAGTAGACATCAGTGCTGTACTGAGAAGGATCATTTATGATGCAGGTCCCTCCAGACTACAGCACAGTGGGATTGTTTGAAAACAGGACATACAGATTTAGGGGAAGAGGCTTTTCTCTCCTGCAACACAACTACAAAGAAATTTAAGCTGTTTCCTATCCAGCTAGAAACACACTCTCTTTTCAGGATCATGCTGATTTGAAGGAAGATATAAGCTCAGCAGAGAATACAGATCAGCTTTTAAGTGCTTCTTGACATATTAGCCTCCTTTAATCGAATCCTACACCCAGCACATGATGAGTAACCGTGGGAGCAGTTCAGAGAGAATTGAATTACTGCTAAAGATCTTAAGCCAGCCCCATTTAAATAAGCTGTTTCAGAAAAAGGAAGAAAAAAGACACTTTGCTCCTTTTCTGCAAGTAATGTTATACAAAGACCTGGTCCTTGCCTAAAGTGCAGCCAAACACTTATTTCACAGGCCATGCTCAGCCGGACTCTCCCCTGCTACTGCAGTACAATTTCCGTATGAATGATGCATCACATCTGGGAATGCCATCAGAGGGTGAGCTCATTTTCATGGATGGAAACAACATCTCATTATCAGCCTATGAGACGAATAATCACCAGGTTTCATCCTCAGAGGGTGAAGAAGGAACTCCCACAGTTGCACCGCTGGTCACTTTAGGAGAACGCATCCTGATGGACCAGTGAGCTGATGTGATGTGCACCCCTGAAGCTTAACATCTCAAGCCACAGTCACCTAGCTTCATCCTTCTCCTCTAAAGCTGTCCAGTATGGAGAGGCCACAACACATGGGAACCTCTTTACTTCACACAGTCGTTAGTCACTTCCACAAAACCCTTAGAACAAACATGGTTGAACTACAGAGAGGAAAATATTATCTGTTGGTGTTTGAAAGACTGAACAAGAAAAGTTTTTTCTTCTTCACTGAGCATGAATGGTCCTGCAATTAGACCCCTCAGCTTAACCTTTTATCTCTAACGGGGATGAGAAAATTGTCTTGGGGAGCGATAACAATTGAATTAATTGAAACTGATTGTCTGAAAAAATTACAATGATGCATGCGGCTGGAGAGCATCTTTGTCCAGACAGCAAGTGCTTTGTTGTGCAGCGTTTTGTTCAGCCGCTGGTGGCTGGTGGGCAGAAAAGTGTTTGCTTCAGTGGTTCACAATAAGGTCATGCAAGCAGGCTTGCAGGCTCCAGTTGGGTGCCATCGTTAAGGATGGTGGGTCGCTTAACAGCTTCATGGAAGCAAGGAGCATGGACCCTCACTGCAGGGGCTGACCCCAGAGCAGAGGAACCTCTGAAGTGTTTCTCTTGTAGGACTTGTCTACTAGGATCCAGACTACTTGTATTCTTTCAGGTTTACCCGTGCTCATCCTCCTGAGGAAGGCAAATGCTGTTAGCCTCATCAGACAGAGCTGAGCTGCTGAGAGAAGGAGGAGGATGTGTCTACACAATGAAGAGTGGGACCAAGACTGAACTGAACCATGTAGGACACCAATTTCACCTCATATTTTCCACCTTCCTTTCTGGCTTTTATTTGCCCATCACCTGTCCTGATAGCTTGCGGTCATCACATTCATGCTGCCAAGGACATGAAACTCCTCTAAGAAAGTCCACTGCTTGGACACTGGCTGATGTCCGGGTCCAGCCAGAGCATGACCAAGCTGACATACCAGCCTCAGGGGTCTTCAGGCTCCTCAAGCCCAGGAAATCCTGTAAAGCCCACTTCTAGCATGTGCTATGACGGGTTAGTCTGATCCTGATGTTGACTCCAGATCCACAGCCTGCTGAGGTATGTCTCAGAGGTATCCATGACACATGGGCATCTCTGGCAAAGCTCTGAGTTGCCCAAAGCAGCATTGTAACCACCAAACCACCCATACTACTCCACGGTCACTGGGAAAGCCAGGTAGGCTTTGCTGAATAATAGACATTGAGCTCTAGAGCCACCAGGGTGTCACAGAATCCTTGTAATTAAATATTGTTATTTGCCCCACTCAGAGCTCGGTCAGTCCACAGCTTTTATGATGCTATTGATTGCTGTGGGCATGGCCAAGCAGATGTCCTGTTTATCACTTTGGGTTTTTATTGCTAGCACTAGAATAAAATCACTATTTATTTGTACTTCAGCAGGGACAAAGGACCCCAGAAACCTATTGTGTTAGGCACTACATGAACAAAGCAAAAAGAGATTTCTTGCCATGAGCAATTTACAGACTGACTATATGATGACACATCAAGGAATGGGCAAGAACAGCAGGAATTGATGATAAAAGCTGGTTGTCTTGGTCACAGAGGTGAGTCAAAGCCATAATCTCACCCTTAGCACCTGGCAATTCAAAATGAAAGTTGGAGCAGGCATGAGACTGAACGTGGACTCCAGTCCCTGGAGTTAAAGTGATTTCTTAGCCTATAGTTCTGGATCCAGAAGGTGGAAACACAGATGCAGATCTGTCTTTATTTGGGGACTTCTCTATGAGAGAAAGGACAGCGAAAAAGGTAGACATTTTAGGAAATGCTTGCTTTTGGTATGTTTCCAGTAACTAAAGCAGACAGCAGGTCAGAAGTCTAGAGAAAATTTCACAGGATTTGGAAAAGTAAAGATTTCAGGAAGATTGCCTCTTTGGGCATAAACTTGCATTTTGTGACGCTTCTGTAGTCTCTACCTGGAGAGAAACCCTCCGGCAAAGCAGAGTGAGTCAAGGCAGCTTCAGTAATAATGTTCCCCTTCTTCTAATGAGCCTTTTTATTCAGAATTAGAGGAATAACTCAGCTTTGATGACATATCACCACCGCTACGTGACTCAGAGCCCCATACTTCCCTGCTGTCAAAGCAAGAATCTTTAGCTTCTCCTAAATCTAAATCCAGCCACTGCTGGCTTAGCTTTCCTTGGGTTCAAGGAGAGACTGGACACATTCATCGAAGGGAAATCATTGAGAGAAATCACGTAAACTATGTCTGGCTCAGAGACCCCCAAGCTGAAATTGATCATCCACAGGTGAACAAGGGGAGAAAGTACTGTAAACACTTGTTGTGTTCCCAGTCTTCCCCAGGTATCTTCTGTCTAAAGATCATATGCAGGGCTAGGCTGAGCTTTGGTCTGACACATTAAAGCCATCCTTATGTTTACTTTTTAGGACTATAAATCACGGTCGGCTTACAAGGAGCATTACTTACCAATAACAGCGTGATGTACGTGAACAAGATTGCAGCCACAATCAGGAGAACAAGAGACCAGAGAAACCAAAAGCCCAGGTTCCCATAGTTATACCTAAAAAGTAATAAAATATTATAATAGTGTTTGTGTTTAACACATGGACTGGAGGGGAATAACAGCCCTGTTCCTTGAAATTTTGAAGTTTTCAAAGTAATAAAACAAAGAAGGAGGGAGGAATAACCTACCCTGTAACATGCAAAAGTGGTTAAGAGCTACCTTCCCCAAATCCATAATTGCATTAACCACCAGACTAATACCCCAATGTGCTGGGGTGGTAAAATACAGGACCAAATTGATGGCCCTGCTCCAGAGAGCTCCCAGTCTGACTGTAAGACACAGCACCTTGCTGTAGAGAAGGCAGCCTGGGGAAACAGTGAGATGCCATGACTCAGGCCAACAGCCCACCTTGTCTGCTTGCAGTTGCGTAAGGCACCGCAGCAAAAAGGAGATTTGAGTCAGGTTTTGAAGCAGAAAACACCAGAAAGCTGGAGGAGCTGCGGAGGGATTGCCCAAGGAGAGAGAGAGGGAAGCTTTACTTTTTACCCAAAGGCTTATTAAGGATGAATAACATTATTACACCTTTCCCCTCCATAATATTTCAGCTGTTTTAATTTAATTTTAGGGGCCAGATTTGCATAACTGTTGCCTACGTACTGCAGAAGGAAAGGATTTGCATAAATCCCTGCTGGTTGTTTCTTACTTTCGAGCCCGGGCACATGCAATTCTCTTTCAGCGAGATAGCTGGTACAATGCCTCTGATGCCAGCTACTACATTTCTTCAGAGAGAACAGGGGAAAAAACCCAAAGACTCAGAGAAGGAAAGGAAAGAGCTATTTAGTCCTCTTCACTCACAATTTTTGTGATGATGATCCTCCCCTTTCTCCCAAATTCACACTTACACCTAAAAATTGCAGCCAAGCAAAGGGCAGAGCCTCAGCACCTCTGAAGTCACTGGCCATTCAATTTGGATGCTGTGACCGAGTTTAAGGAGCCAAACCTTTGGCTCACAGCTGAAGTGCCCTGCTGCAGCACAGCTGCTGGGGAGGGTGCTCCTCTCTGCCCAGCCACCCTGCTGACCTGCCCAAGGAGCAGGAGAGGAGGAGAAGAGGGTACTTACCAGTCAAAGTTATTGTAGTCATTTTTCGCTTCACCCCACATGTACAGAAAGACCAGAGAAAAGCAGAATGCTCCAACAAGCAATGGGAAAAACACGCATTCCCGCTGGAGAGGGAGAGGAAGGACGAGTTGTCAGAGCCCTGTCTACTCCAAGGCAATCAGAGCAAATAGTAGACACTTTTAGCCTGTCCCTAAGACACCTGGCTTGGTGTTGGACCTCCTGAAGTAGATATGGAGAGGACTTCCCTCCCTGTCCCCTGTGACCAGTGGAATGTCCTCAAAAGCGTACTCTGCAGTATTTATTTTCAGGCAAAACAGGTCTCACGACTTCACAGATGAACAGGATTTTAACCACCTCACGTGAGAGGGAATCGCACTCTGCAGCAGCCCTCTTTGCAATTCTTACTGCACACCCAACCCCAGTTTTACTTCTTTAATTTGATCCTATGGCTTTGAGATGTTTACCGGCCCAGAGGGTTTGGTGCAAAGTCCTTTCCTGCCATCACACATTTATTAGCTGTGCGATGGCACAGACAAACTGAGCTTGCCACAGAAACACAGCAATACATCAAGCACTTAGAGCAAAATCTAACAACCCCACAGATCTCAGTGGGCTCCAAATGATGTTGGGCAGGGATGCCTTTGGCCCATGACATCAACCACTTGTCAGCTTGCACTGACCTGTTCCTCTGTGTCCTTACACAGAAATCAATATCTGTGCTGATTTTGAGCTAATTTACCGTCTTGCAGCAGCATTTCCCAGGCTCGGTCCTTCTGCGCTGGTACCGCTTCCACCGGCAGCTGTAGAAACCAGCCAGGCAGGAGATGAAGGGCTGATGCTCATATCTCTGTAGCAAGCGCCGACGTACCACCTTCAGCTTTCCAAACTTGAGCGTCTTGAGGCTGGTGGACCTGGCCTCCATCTGAGTGGCTTTATCTCATCTTCCTCCTGAAACAAGACTACAGGTTTTATGGGGAGACTGTAACCCTCCTTTACTTTTGAGTAAGCTTTTCATATCAGAAAAAATAGAGGAAGTTTTCTCAAGAGGATGCTGCAACCAGCAGGAAAGGGTGCTGAGGACACCTCTCCTAATTTTATATACCTAAGTGAGCTGTCTAACAGAAACACATGGTGATTGCAACTCTCCTCAGCAGTCAGTGGTGCTCCTGGTTGTAACTTTGGTGCTCTGAATCACCTCTGAGGGAACCTCTGCCTCCTTTTGACTGTACAGGGAGCTCTGGAAAATGAAATCACTAACTTAAGCACTCCTTGCAGATTCCCAAATTACATCAGATGAACCTGAGCCCAGGCTTAGCCATGAGAATTAATTCACCATCACTGTAACCTGTCTGCAACCTGCTACCAGCTTAACTAGTTCATGTTGGAAAGGGACAAAAACGCTCCGCATAAACATCTCTCTTATCCTGGCAAAACTACAGCACTGCAGAGACTGATCCCTTCAGAAAAAAATTATCTCCTGACTGAAATAGCTTTATGTAGCACTGTTTTTCAAGGGTAGAAAGAGTAGCTGTAAAGATGCACACATAGGAGATCTCTTCATAATCAAGATTTTAAACAAAGAACTTGGTGGTAAATTGCAACTGATGTAGTTAACAGTGAAGCAAATACCACAGGGGTTTGTGCCAGCAAAGAGCAGTTCACCCAGCAGGGCACTATCAAGACCATAAGGAAAGATCTAGAAAAAAAAGTCTTGTGTAGGCATACAAAGAAGAACCATTATCCAGCACTTCTTCAGAGCACAGAGATAGCCAGAGATATTTTCTATTGCATTAAAAAGTGCCATTGTATCCTTGAGTCCATACCAACCATGTTCAAATCCAGGCATGTGTGCTGCAAAGTCTCAGCTTAGGACTCAGATTTCCCTGATTTAACTGAGTAATAACAGCCATTTAAGAACAAGAATGAACAATTTGCTGCACTATACATCCGGATGAAACACACACATAAGTTGTTTGCAAAAAACTCAGAGCCCAGTGCGTCTTTGCAGAAACAAGTGGATAATTCCTTGCAAACTGACACTTCCCAAAAACCTGATAAGTTTACAGAAAGCACAAAAAAAACAGAGACATAAGATGCAAGTTAAAACTGAAATGACGCATCCCTGGTACCCTTTCCAAATGTCCCAGCCTATGGGCAGCTGGGGTGCAAAGAGAGAGGATGGAAATGAAACAAAAGGGGTTTCAGTTTGGACCACTACTAATTGAGCAGTGCCCAAGCGTGCCAAGCCCTGAATATTTTCCTGAGACAGACGTGTCTGCCCATCCCGGACAGTCACAGGGAATCCCACATTCTTGGATATGGTGGGGTCAAGCCATCTCTAGAAGCTCAGCAGTATCAGATCTGGGCATCAGCACGTCACCCCATAGTAAAAAATTGATGCTAATGTCATGCGGCAAGATGGTGATCCTGCTCTTGAATTACGCAGAGCACAGATGAGGGGTGCAGGCGTTATGCCACCGGCAAGCGGTGCAGACGACAGCTGATCCTGCTGTCTTCATCAGCTGGCCTCAAGTACACCTGGCATAAACCCAGCAATTACCAAGTTACCCCAGCCACACCTTCCAAATATATTTGAACCTTCAGAGCTCTTACCAGAAGGGTGTCGTGTGCCATGGGGTTGCAGTATTTATTACCTCCTAGGAGGATCCCTAAACCATGAGATCCCCTGACCACAGCATCCGTTCTTGCCCAGCCCTTCTCCTTCAGCAATAGGAATTCAGGACACTGGACCAAACCCATCAATTTTGCTGGCAGGGGGCCATGAGGTTTGTTACTCACATTCCTGGTGTGGGCACGAGGCTCACGCATCAGTATTTACCAATGAGCACATAGGATTTAACAGGAAAACAGAGATAACAAAGACCTCAAAACACTGTTCGCTTCATCTGGCTGGTTACAGCAGCATGTCAGGTGTTAAATCTAGGGGTTAGTCTTCCCCCCCTCATAAAAATTGCTGGTGATGGAGATCCCACCAGCTCCCAAGACAGGCTACTCCAGTCCAAACTAGCTTTAACATTTAAAGTTTTTTCCCAATGTGTAGTCTCCTGTGGTACAGTTTAAGCCCACTACCTCATGCCCTGTTCATGGTGGATATAAGGAGCAAAGAGCAAGCAGGAAAACACGCATCTGTAGGAGAGCAAAGTTTAGGACTCCTTAGCAAGTGAGCCATGAAAGCGGTAACATATGTTTTTCAGCTCCATAAACCCAAGAGATCTCAGGTTTTTCCCTTGCAAACAGAGACTTTGTTTGTTTACAGATAAGAATCCCCATAATCGCAGGCAGTTGAACAGGGCTGCTTGTTTCCCACTGCTTGACAGAGAGTGAGGAAAAGCATGAGAAATAGCCCAGGGGGATGACGGACTAAGGAGCAGGGGAGAAAAAGCAGGAAACATATTCAGCCACAAGGCCTGAATGCAGAAGTTACTGCAAGCCGAGCTTGCTTGAGACACCACTACACAAGGAAAAAGAGAGTATCCTTGTCTTTTTTTGTGCTGTAGAGCTAGGGCATCCATCTTTTGAGGGATAAACAGGTACAGCAGCCAAATTTGGCATTGCCCTATAGCCTTTTCCTTGTGCCTTTTAAGCGTTTCTCTTCTTCCTTTCTCCTACATCTTACCAACTTTCTCCAACACAATATCCTACAACACACGGGCAGGCAGGTGCAGGGCTCTTTTCAGATATTACAAACACACTTCCCAGTGAGCTGCAAGAAGAAAATTGGCAAAAAAAAATATTCCGTGGGTACCAGCAGCCATGTGAGGGACATGGAGATGGTCATTTCTCAGCACCTGAACACCTGCTTGCCCTGAGCATCTTGATGGCGTAGGAAAGGAGGCAATAGGAGTGATGCCCACTTAGCCCATAAGACCATTCTCAAGGGATTTGGAGAGAAAATGAACCCCATGCTAGGGCTGGGAGGTGCCTTTTGCCTGAGCTGAGCCTTCCCAGAACCTGCAGCTCCCTTGCGTGGGGACTTCTGGTGCCATCCCACCACTCTCTGGGGTATCGGTTCCTGCCCTTCCACTTGGGAGTCTTCCACAGCATTGCATCAGTAGGTGCAAAGGAGTAAAATCAACCTCCTGGCAAGCTGCTGGTTGATCACCATCACCACAAGCTGCACACAGACCTTGCCACCAGGCAGAAAAGCTCAGCAAAGAGCATCCCTTAAACCTGCATTTCTGCCCAAGGCTCTGGATCGCAGCCTAGGGTCCCCTTTATTTCACCATCATCTGCTTTCCGTTTCTTTTCAGTGAATTAATGAGGTTTAACACAGGAAAGGAAAAAGGATCAAATAAAATAAAGCTAGTCATAATCTCCCCATGATGTGGAATATACTCTACGTCCTTTCCTTTCCCTGGCAGATGATAATTATAATTTATCACTAAGACTTTCAACAGTTTCTTTATAAGCCCTAATTATACCTTACTTCTGTGTGGGATCCCAGGGAGTATGTGCAGCTCGAGACAAATACATGCAAAGTACATTTCATGAGTTGATTAGCTGTTGGCTTTGAGGTGTCATTAGAGCAAAGAAACAATAGGGCTTAACACAAGAAATAACGAACGAATGTGGAAGTAGAAGGGTTTAAAAAGGATTAACTGCTCCTGTGATTGCAGGGACAATATTTATGCATTTCATTTGTTGTAGTACACCTCCAACATGCAATGGTTGTGGTTTTCAAAGCTATGGGGAGGTTTCCACCAAGGTTAATGCCCTGTATTTTGTGATATGCCATCACACTTTGAACAGACACAAATAATCAAATGCATTTCTACCAAATTAATCTACAAGTACAGCCAAAATCCTGCATCTATTAGGATTGCACAGGGACTTATCCCTGTCACAGAGGACCCTCTGCTCTACTGTCTAAAGGTCAGACACCCAGCAGGAGCTGTGCTGGAAATGGTTGGCACGGCCTGCTCAATTTTCAGTCCTAGAGCCTGCTGAGACCAGGATTCATCTGTGGTCACATGCAAATGCTTTAAGGCAAGATCTTCTGAGGCAACCAAATAATTTTGTGGGGTCAATTTGACAAGCCCCTGAGGAACCCCTGTGGCTGCGGACGAGTGATAAGGGTTTGGTAACGCTGCACGGTGAAGCAAGCCTCACTCCAAGGTGGGATCTATTCACCTGAAAACAAAGCCGCAGATTGGCCATGAGAATTTAGGGTAGAAAAGGCAATTAATCCCTGGCTTTATTCCAGAGTGACCATCATGGGAAATAAAGTTCCAAAGTTGAACGACATTTTGCACAAATAATTTTTTCCTCTGCCCCAACCCTCCCCCAAAACTGTTTGGTGTCTCTCTACTCCTTCACGGTACCTCTCTCAATAGTCTCTCATGCTTGGAGGATGTTTTTCCCCAATGTCCGGTCCCCAGGGATGACTCACTATCCACAATCACTTGCAGAAACCTTGTTTAATCATAATCATCGTCACTGGAAATAACAGTTGTTTTTCTTCATCTTCAAAGTACTTTGTGAGCTACATTAACAAATGTGTGCCCAGGAAATTATTGGCCAAGCCTCAGAGCATTTACAACGGATTTTATACAAATGCTTTCAGCTTTGCGTGGAAACAGGCAAGGGGAAATCATCGTGTTTGTAAAAGGGTTTCACAGCGCTACAATAGATTTTCCCTCTCGCCTGCTAGGAGCAAAATGAGTGTTTCGAATAAAGCTGATGAATAGTAGCTTAAAAAAAAAAAAGGCAAGCAAAAGAAGGGGTGGAGAAAGACTTTTCACAAATGCCACGTCTTTGGCTGGACTCAAGCATATTACCATCTATTATTATTACACAGAAATCTCCCAAAAGGGCCAGGTGGCTTCGGTTCTGCAGAGGTTTGCACGCCACCAGCCTTCCTCCATTGCAAGGAGCAAAAGCATGAGTCTGGCACAGATGGGGATGATTTTGGTTAGGGAAACTTTCCT